GGAGATATTTTACCGGCTCTGCTAGAAGTTCAAGCAACTGAAGATTTCAACCGCGCCCACGGACTTCCCATAAACTACAAATCTTAAAAGGAGAGCATTTTCTGGAGAATACTCTTTTATTATATCTGGAGACCATGGTATTCGATATACTGGGATGAGAAAGACACTTCAGGGGAAATTAAAGAGAGACTTCCGTTTATGTCCACTATAGTATTAAGGTTGTTTATTGAGAAGTATCCAGATCTATACAAGAATTTTATCCATAATTCCAAAGTGCTGACCACATTGTTTGACGTGTGCGCTACACCGCGTCACATCCCGTTGTATTGAAATCATCCCGGTGATACATTAACCGGTTAAAGTCTCTTTACTAAAATTTACAAGCGGTCACCTCTGTCAATAAAGCAGTCGGGGTCACTCTTTACCAATTCCCAAGGGCCTGTTTGCATTGTTCCCCACCCGTATCCAAAGGTCACTTACAGCACAACCACTCATATGAACTAAAAATAATCTTTTAAGTAAAATGTAATCCATGTTTATCTACAAAATCAATGTCAGTAGTAGTTTTTAGGGAGTTTTTGGAAATTAGTAATCAATGATGGGCATTTTTGTCGTTTTTATAATACACACTTACATCGTTCTAATGTCACAAAAACTTGATCTTGATTGATTTATCCATGTTCGTGATATTTCACGTAAGGAAATTCGGAAAAGTTCCGTGATGACGTACCGAGATAAACGGAACTAACTTCGAATTAAGGGCCGGGAAACATCATTGTAAAAACCAAAATGAATAACCCTATTTGGCTCAGCCGTTGGTCCTCATCCATATAAGGAGCTGGTTTCAAACTTCCCCATAACGTTAGCAAAGTAATGACAATTGAATGCGCGCACACGATTTTAAACTTGAATCCTTTGGTTGACGCATGTTTGAAAACTTTCGAATGCAAGAATGGAAAGTTCTATTTTGAGTGCTCAAAATGTACCCGGTTATAGCATAGGAAAACTTGATCCAGCCACGCAGTCTCGTGCGTTTGTTTACGGGTACTTTTTTTCGGGTTAAGGCAAGCTTTGTGAGAATGCCTTACGGGTAGCTGTGCATGCCATATTATAACGGCAGTTGTACTGTTAAAAAAAGTGTTAAAAGGACAACGAGTACATCTTACACTCTCAAACCGAATGCAGTTACGTTGCCTCTGCTTCACCTTTAAACGCCTATATTGAAGTCATCCGTTGCTTTGTTCCTATTAGTACGAGGTTTGTTCAAGATAAACGTATAACCAGTAACAGGTCCGTTCTGCGCAAGTTACACAAACAGCACAAACAGCAAAACTGCCAACAGTTAATTTTTTTTTAAAAGTACCGCTTAACCCAGAATGACATAAAATAACGCATTCTGTCGAAATGAAAAACATTTACGGTTTTTCTCGCGAACAACGCTTAAAGTTTGTCAATTTTTTCGCCCGATGTTTTTTTATACCGATAAGGACCGGTTAACCCCATTGAAACCCTTTGTTAATTGTTGATGAAATAACTTTAAGCCTGTGTCTTTTACCAGCAGTAAATTTCAAAATAATTGACCGAGGACTTTTCACTATTAAAGACCTTTATCATTATAAAAAGAAACACGCCCATCAGCTCTAACCACAAATCAACCAGGAGCCCATTAGCTCCTGCTAATCTATGTAAATAAGAATTTTTTGGGGCCACGGTTTTAGCTAGAACCGTGGTTCTTGTTTTATAACTGCTGTTCGCAGAGTGCGGCTGCTCACTAGTTTAGTTTAAAAAAAAAAAAACGTTAATGGAGCAAAGTCATTTATCTTCAGCGTTCGCTTTTTGAACTTTCACTGCTCTGCAAAGTTCATTAATGTGACACTTAAACTAAAATCAATACATTTACCAATGTTCTCCGAGGTCAACTTACTAAGATGTTAAGCTATAAATATGACTATCAGACAGTTTGTTACCCTTGTCACTTCATTGTCAAATGTCCAGTACAACAATAATTACGCCTTTTTTTGTAGGATGTAACAGCTCAAGAAAGAGCCTTTTTTAGACCCTTTTAATGTATCTAACACTTCGTCTTCATCTTTCCACACTGATAATTAGGAATGTCTGTTATTTTCGAAACTTCCCGAGACCTTCTAACGCTTTTATTCATTTTCAGGGACTTCGACACTCATCCGGTATTACAGGCCCTCCCGGTCTTCCAGGGAGCTGTATGAGGTCAGCGTCATCCAACACCACTACCCCCACAGTATTTTGCGCACCAGGTAAACAAGGTCTTAAAGCAATGAAAGGGGACAACGGAAGCCGTTGATCACTGGGCCACCCTGGACCACGAGGAAACAGAGGCCCACGAGGAAATAGGGGAAACAAAGACCCCATAGGAAAAGGGTGACATTGGGCACCCAGGAAACTCTTCTGATCTGGAATGTGTCCCTCAGTGCACCAGTTGGGTGAATAGAAGTGAGTGGTTCGAGAAATATCCTGAGGTCCATTGTGATAGGAGAGAATTCTCACAAGTCTTCAGTGTGGAAGAAAGCGATGCTCGCGGGCAGAGAAGATACAAATACACTTGTTGTACACTTGACTGACCAATGGTCCTTGAAAAGTTCAGCAAATGAGCTGAGTGCAGACCAAAATAAACAGCCAACAAGCAATGACTCAACTCTCAACAAACAATGGACGGAAATTTTGATCGATGACAAATTTGAAGATAGTATCTCTGAAGAAATATGAGATACGACAAAAGGGTTTTTTATGTATTGAAGAGAAGATACGTACAGTTAACTACTTTTGGGATAACATTTCTTGACTATCCGTGCCGTTCATACATACACTTTCTGTCAACTCGAATTATCAGAGTAGCTCTGTTAAGCTAGTATCTTCGAGGAAGAAAAATATTTAAATCAGTTGAATCATTAAAATACACTAATTAAAATTTCCACTAAAAGTTCGTTTTCTTTTTCTTTATGTCCGTCTTAAAATCTTTAAACGATGTCATTGTTTTCATACTGTCTGGGAGCGAATTCCATATTTTTGCTGCTTGATATTGGATGCATTCAAGTCCGTAATTTGTTGTTCTAGGTATAGGTAAGGCCAGAATATTCTTTCCTCTTAATGAATAACTGGAGTTACGAAGAACGAATAGTTTTTTTATATATCCAGGATACCTAGAAACAAATAAGCTCTTGAAAACTACGTAAGGATTTTGTGAAGTCTTCCAGTGAATAGGGATGCTATCTTTGCTTTCTTTAATAGTTCATCATAACTAGACATTGAATCATTGAAAATAAATTGTAAAATATGTTTGTTCAAAGACTCCAATCAATCACAATTTCTAGTGCCACAAAAATACCAAATAAGAGAGCAACATTGAAGGTGTTGGAGGATAAAAGACTTTTATAAACGTAACATGACATTTCTGGTAATGATATTTTTAAATCTCTTGAGAACACTTGATTGTTTGTTAACCTTCTCACATATCTGTGAGATGTGACGATTAAAACTCAAATCCTTGTCAGTAGTTACACCCAATAAATCGATTGAATTCTTAACGGAAAAAGAGAATTCATAACTACTGTACGCGCTAAGCACCATTGCTTAGCGCTTGTACGGATTTACAATCATTCCATTTCGCTAGCGCTCATACCAACTGTTAGCAATTTCAAGTTCGCGTTCCAGCTGTGTGTTTAGTGTTTCTAGGTCCTTGTCAGACGAGTACAACTGTTGATCATCGGCGCGAGCATTCAGGCATTCTATGGCTGAACGGGTTTTTATCAAATTTCAAGTCTTTGGGCGTCAGGTGACAAAATGTACTAGTAAAGTCACACGAGAGGAAAGGCGGCTTTTAGTTTGACCCTTGGGATCTATCAATTTCACCTAAGTTATTTATAGACAGTCGATCAAAATGGAATTTAATTTCCGGGAATTCCTCAACAGGCTTACCTTACCATGCTTATCATATTTATTTTGTTGCATTATGAAAACACAGTCTCAGCCCGTGAAACAGAGCAACGGGACGAAAATATTTTTAAAAAATGCAATACCAGCGGTGTTGGGTTACGCGAATAACTTTCAAGATAATTACTTCCAAGGACAGATACTGACATTCTATTTGTTATGACGTATCATTTGATGTTTAATTGTGGTCAAACTTCTAAGAACCCTTTTATCGAGCGCACACTTAAAGTCATACCCTAAGAGAAGGGAAACTAAACGAGGGGAACTAAAACTTATTGAAAAGATTCTAATTCCTCTCGAGAAATCGAATCTCATTCAATCCAATTTCGCTGAGGGTGTTGTTAACAATGATCACCTACAACTGCTTCCAACCAGAAAATCACAATGCATGAGCTTCGCATCCTTCATTGTTCAGGGTTATCCCTATATAAGATGTTACCGGGCTGAGTTCTTTTATCAGGACCCGAGTGTTGAAAGGTTGGATAACGCTATCCACTGGATAAATCGCTCTCCGGTGGATAGCGCAGCACGTTTTCTTAACAGTTATCCGCTGAATATTGATTTATCCGTTGGATAGTGTTATCCACTCTTTGAACAACTGTGCCCAGATCTATAACAAAGGACATTCTGTTGGTGAGTTTTTATTTTCATGATAACAAAGTCAAAGAGATTACGATAACGGTTCGAGTCAATCACTGTTCCTAATTCGCTACAAAAACTGTTCCTATAGAAAGAGCATGGGGAAAGAAGAATTCAACTCGAGGAAATTTAAAAGACCAAAGGATCTTGACATGATATCAAAACTCTTTTCTACACACCAAAAACCAAAAACTAAAAACTATAATAAAGATTATGAATATGAAAGCATATTTGTATCGAAACTGCCTCGGTACTATAATTAACTAAGAAAGGAAATTGCAACTTAAAAATGAATTCAATTTTACAATAAAAATGAAACATTCGTAAGTTTCGAATTGAAAAACATCACGAACGCGACCTCTTATCGAGATAAACTGCTTGGCTCTAAAAATAAAGTACATGATCCTTTGAAATAAATTGTGTGAACAAATCTTCGAAGTTTAACTTCTGTCAACTCATTCCAGAAAGAAAAAAAGACTTCGCCACAATTTTTTTAACTGAGGAAGTGCGCACCACTTCTTGAGTCTTTTGAAATACTTCAACTACTTCAATCGTAATCAGTAAACTGGAATTAATGTTTTAAAATTCAATTGTAAGTCACAAGCACAATCTACCATAGTTCACCTACTATTCTGCAATGCACTGTTGTGTCTTTCATACTCTGTATCAAGGAATTAAAATAAGGTTATTGATACAAAAGTTTCAAACTTAGATTTCGCCTTAAGGACCTAACTCAGCAACTCGTTCAGTTTTTTTTCTACTGACAGACAATGTCGTTAAGTGCCAAGATAATTAGGACGTTTGAAAACTGCGACATTTTGTTTTTAAAACCAAGCTATATCGCTGAAAATACTGAGGAAATTCCTGTCGTCGGAGAACTTGGTTTCAAATCGTTGCCAAAAACCATCAGCAAGGATCTTGTCTCTTCTACGAACAAGGTAAGAGGTGTCTGAAAGGTAAATAGAAAATTTTCATTTTAACTTAGGTTTGAATACGCTCCTAAAGTAAGACTTGTTTAACACACCGATATTTGTAGAAGTATGAGAAATCGGAGGAGTCAGCGCAGAGAACAATTAACATTTTCGATGCAAGCTATGCGTGGCAACAGCACCGATGACCAAATATTCCTTTCACTCATTTTGATATACATTGACATCACGTCATTATGTTTATCATTGTATATCCTTGGAAAAGTTTTGGTTAAAGTCTTCCTGCAAACCAGGATATCATTTTGCTGCTCATTGCAAATCATACGTTGTTAATACGTGACTAAGAACAAATCATCTTTAAAGGCATTAGGGCCGTTGCAGTCAGCTGCTCAGGGCACTAAAACTGAATGGCAGAAATTTATAGTTTAGCATGATAACTTCCTTTCGTGCAAATATGATGTGGCTTAATTCAAAATATATCATCAATTAATAATTGCCTACTTACATTTGACAATATCCAAAATGCTATCTTCAATTTAATTCCAGTGTGACGTCATCCCCAATGAGTACAAAGGGTGCCCAGTACTTCACATCGCTGAACTCTTCAGACTCTTTCATGCTCTTCATAGCTTGGTTAAGAGCTTCACTTGCAAGCTTCCCAGTAACCAGTTCTTCATAGAAATGTTTCATAAACACAAGAGTAGCCTCGTCATCAATCGCCCACAGCGACACGAGAACAGAGCGAGCACCGGCACCCAAAAATGCTCTTGCAATTCCAACAACTCCCTCAGCCTTAATCTCTCCACGACCACTGTGACAACAACTTAACACAACCAGCCTTGCTCGTATCCGGATATCCAACACATCTTTCATTGTTAGAATAAAATCCTCCTCAACAAAGGGCTTTGATTGGCAAGTACTTCGTGGCGCTAAGACAATTTCGCCCGTTTCCATTCGGCCATGTGCAGCAAAGTGCACCAAAGCAACAAAGGGAAGTCGCCTCAACACTTCATCTTTCCTTGCTTCTTCACCAATTCAATAAGCGGATCAGCACCAAGGATTCTGCCGATTATCACCACTTCTTCTCTTGCACATGGCAGTGAATCGAACGTCCTCTCCTCGAAAAGAACCCCCTCCAAACATGGATCACCCACAAGTAAAGCACTTTTCTTATCGTGGAAGTCGTCTGGGTAATCGTTTATCAACCTCAAAGTAGTCAGGGATGGAATCGTTCGAACTCGGAAAGAGTCACACAAATAATTTGACTCGGAATCCATCAATGCAGCAAAAGGGACTGACCACAATGAACTCTCGGGAACAAAGATAAGTTCATTGCTATTAACAAGATCACCAATCGGCTCAATGATAACGTCATACAACATCCGTAACGCAGTTTTCGGTGAGCAATCAGTAGAGAAATCAGCATGACCTGACCTTTTCTTCTCCAATTCTTCAGTACAGGGCTCATCAAGAGAGCGATCTTCACATTCAATAACACCTCTTTTAAACGCTCTTGATGCTGTGTTCATTAAGCTTCCAATAAAGGTATTGACATCTTCGAACGAGCCATAATTACTTATTTCAATACTTCTCAATTGAATATCTTGAAAGCTGTTAATAAACCAGTAGAATATCTTGCGTTCCTTATTATCTACAGCCATAAAAACTGTATTTGAAACAGCACCGCTTACAAGAACATCAAGATCAAAATTCCCTGGGGTGTGAGGCCGAGGTTGTATTTCTTTCAACCCATATCTAAGACAAATCAGATCATTTAGAGCCTGTGCACGTCCTTGTTCAGCAGATAGAAGCGCATCCAAAATTTGATTTTGTTCTAAATGAAGACGCCACAAACAAGTATATGCGTTTCTTTGCATGTCGCGGAAGCTAATATTGCAATCATCTCTGAACCGCAGCTTGGCTCGGATGGCATCAAACATTATCACACAAGAACGATATAGGTTAACAGCTCTTTCTAGATCTCCCAACCTCCAATAAACATTGGCCAGATTACCGTAACCGGATCCCTCTCCAGCCTTGTCTCCCACTTCTTTGGCAATTTTCAGATCACTTTCATGATACTGGATGGCTCTCTCGAAATCTCCTAGGCTATCATAAGCATTGCCGAGATTTCCGTAACTCTTTCCCTCTCCAGCTTTGTCTCTCACTTCTTTGGCAATTTTCAGATCACTTTCATGATACTGGATGGCTCTCTCGAAATCTCCTAGGCTATCATAAGCATTGCCGAGATTGCAGTAGCAGATTCCCTCTCCAGCCTTGTCTCCCACTTCTTTGGCAATTTTGAGATTATTTTCATGATACTGGATGGCTCTCTCGAAATCTCCTAGGCTATGATAAGCATTGCCGAGATTGCAGTAACTATTTCCCTCTCCAGCCTTGTCTCCCACTTCTTTGGCAATTTTCAGATCACTTTCATGATACTGGATGGCTCTCTCGAAATCTCCTAGGCTATCATAAGCATTGCCGAGATTGCAGTAACTCTTTCCCTCTCCAGCCTTGTCTCCCACTTCTTTGGCAATTTTCAGATCACTTTCATGATACTGGATGGCTCTCTCGAAATCTCCTAGGCTATCATAAGCATTGCCGAGATTGCAGTAACTCTTTCCCTCCCCAGCCTTGTCTCCCACTTCTTTGGCAATTTTCAGATCACTTTCATGATACTGGATGGCTCTTTTGAAATCTCCTAGGCGATGATAAGCATTGCCGAGATTGCAGTAGCAGATTCCCTCTCCAGCCTTGTCTCCCACTTCTTTGGCAATTTTCAGATCACTTTCATGATACTGGATGGCTCTTTTGAAATCTCCTAGGCGATGATAAGCATTGCCGAGATTGCAGTAGCAGATTCCCTCTCCAGCCTTGTCTCCCACTTCTTTGGCAATTTTCAGATGACTTTCATGATACTGGATGGCTCTCTCGAAATCTCCTAGGCTATCATAAGCATTGCCGAGATTTCCGTAACTCTTTCCCTCTCCAGCCTTGTCTCCCACTTCTTTGGCAATTTTCAGATCACTTTCATGATACTGGATGGCTCTCTCGAAATCTCCTAGGCTATCATAAGCATTGCCGAGATTTCCGTAACTCTTTCCCTCTCCAGCCTTGTCTCCCACTTCTTTGGCAACTTTCAGATGACTTTCATGATACTGGATGGCTCTCTCGAAATCTCCTAGGCTATCATAAGCATTGCCGAGATTGCAGTAACTCTTTCCCTCTCCAGCCTTGTCTCCCACTTCTTTGGCAATTTTCAGATCACTTTCATGATACTGGATGGCTCTCTCGAAATCTCCTAGGCTATCATAAGCATTGCCGAGATTTCCGTAACTCTTTCCCTCTCAGCCTTGTCTCCCACTTCTTTGGCAATTTTCAGATCACTTTCATGATACTGGATGGCTCTCTCGAAATCTCCTAGGCTATCATAAGCATTGCCGAGATTGCAGTAACTCTTTCCCTCTCCAGCCTTGTCTCCCACTTCTTTGGCAATTTTCAGATGACTTTCATGATACTGGATGGCTCTCTCGAAATCTCCTAGGCTATGATAAGCATTGCCGAGATTGCAGTAACTCTTTCCCTCTCCAGCCTTGTCTCCCACTTCTTTGGCAATTTTCAGATCACTTTCATGATACTGGATGGCTCTCTCGAAATCTCCTAGGCTATGATAAGCATTGCCGAGATTGCAGTAACTCTTTCCCTCTCCAGCCTTGTCTCCCACTTCTTTGGCAATTTTCAGATCACTTTCATGATACTGGATGGCTCTCTCGAAATCTCCTAGGCGATGATAAGCATTGCCGAGATTGCAGTAGCAGATTCCCTCTCCAGCCTTGTCTCCCACTTCTTTGGCAATTTTCAGATCACTTTCATGATACTGGATGGCTCTTTTGAAATCTCCTAGGCGATGATAAGCATTGCCGAGATTGCAGTAGCAGATTCCCTCTCCAGCCTTGTCTCCCACTTCTTTGGCAACTTTCAGATGACTTTCATGATACTGGATGGCTCTCTCGAAATCTCCTAGGCTATCATAAGCATTGCCGAGATTTCCGTAACTCTTTCCCTCTCCAGCCTTGTCTCCCACTTCTTTGGCAATTTTCAGATCACTTTCATGATACTGGATGGCTCTTTTGAAATCTCCTAGGCGATGATAAGCATTGCCGAGATTGCAGTAGCAGATTCCCTCTCCAGCCTTGTCTCCCACTTCTTTGGCAACTTTCAGATGACTTTCATGATACTGGATGGCTCTCTCGAAATCTCCTAGGCTATCATAAGCATTGCCGAGATTTCCGTAACTCTTTCCCTCTCCAGCTTTGTCTCTCACTTCTTTGGCAATTTTCAGATCACTTTCATGATACTGGATGGCTCTCTCGAAATCTCCTAGGCTATCATAAGCATTGCCGAGATTGCAGTAGCAGATTCCCTCTCAGCCTTGTCTCCCACTTCTTTGGCAATTTTGAGATTATTTTCATGATACTGGATGGCTCTCTCGAAATCTCCTAGGCTATGATAAGCATTGCCGAGATTGCAGTAACTATTTCCCTCTCAGCCTTGTCTCCCACTTCTTTGGCAATTTTCAGATCACTTTCATGATACTGGATGGCTCTCTCGAAATCTCCTAGGCTATCATAAGCATTGCCGAGATTGCAGTAACTCTTTCCCTCTCCAGCCTTGTCTCCCACTTCTTTGGCAATTTTCAGATCACTTTCATGATACTGGATGGCTCTCTCGAAATCTCCTAGGCTATCATAAGCATTGCCGAGATTGCAGTAACTCTTTCCCTCCCCAGCCTTGTCTCCCACTTCTTTGGCAATTTTCAGATCACTTTCATGATACTGGATGGCTCTTTTGAAATCTCCTAGGCGATGATAAGCATTGCCGAGATTGCAGTAGCAGATTCCCTCTCCAGCCTTGTCTCCCACTTCTTTGGCAATTTTCAGATCACTTTCATGATACTGGATGGCTCTTTTGAAATCTCCTAGGCGATGATAAGCATTGCCGAGATTGCAGTAGCAGATTCCCTCTCAGCCTTGTCTCCCACTTCTTTGGCAATTTTCAGATGACTTTCATGATACTGGATGGCTCTCTCGAAATCTCCTAGGCTATCATAAGCATTGCCGAGATTTCCGTAACTCTTTCCCTCTCCAGCCTTGTCTCCCACTTCTTTGGCAATTTTCAGATCACTTTCATGATACTGGATGGCTCTCTCGAAATCTCCTAGGCTATCATAAGCATTGCCGAGATTTCCGTAACTCTTTCCCTCTCCAGCCTTGTCTCCCACTTCTTTGGCAACTTTCAGATGACTTTCATGATACTGGATGGCTCTCTCGAAATCTCCTAGGCTATCATAAGCATTGCCGAGATTGCAGTAACTCTTTCCCTCTCCAGCCTTGTCTCCCACTTCTTTGGCAATTTTCAGATCACTTTCATGATACTGGATGGCTCTCTCGAAATCTCCTAGGCTATCATAAGCATTGCCGAGATTTCCGTAACTCTTTCCCTCTCCAGCCTTGTCTCCCACTTCTTTGGCAATTTTCAGATCACTTTCATGATACTGGATGGCTCTCTCGAAATCTCCTAGGCTATCATAAGCATTGCCGAGATTGCAGTAACTCTTTCCCTCTCCAGCCTTGTCTCCCACTTCTTTGGCAATTTTCAGATGACTTTCATGATACTGGATGGCTCTCTCGAAATCTCCTAGGCTATGATAAGCATTGCCGAGATTGCAGTAACTCTTTCCCTCTCCAGCCTTGTCTCCCACTTCTTTGGCAATTTTCAGATCACTTTCATGATACTGGATGGCTCTCTCGAAATCTCCTAGGCTATCATAAGCATTGCCGAGATTGCAGTAACTCTTTCCCTCTCCAGCCTTGTCTCCCACTTCTTTGGCAATTTTCAGATCACTTTCATGATACTGGATGGCTCTTTTGAAATCTCCTAGGCGATGATAAGCATTGCCGAGATTGCAGTAGCAGATTCCCTCTCCAGCCTTGTCTCCCACTTCTTTGGCAATTTTGAGATTATTTTCATGATACTGGATGGCTCTTTTGAAATCTCCCAGGCGATGATAAGCATTGCCGAGATTGCAGTAACTCTTTCCCTCTCCAGCCTTGTCTCCCACTTCTTTGGCAATTTTCAGATCACTTTCATGATACTGGATGGCTCTCTCGAAATCTCCTAAGCGATGATAAGCATTGCCGAGATTTCCGTAATTCTTTCCCTCTCCAGCTTTGTCTCCTACTCCAATAGAAAAACGCAAATTGTTCGCATAGAGGAAGATCTTTTGGACAGCTTCTTGAGGTAGCCGTTCGTTGATATGTACATCCTAAGGTTTGAAGTTATAAATATTGAAATCGTTTATATGCCTTTTTACCCCTTGGCTTACTTATCCTTCATTACGTTTCTTGATCGCTTATCATTTGAACCAGACTTGCCTACGGTGCTACTCAATTTATCCAACCAAGTCAACCGGGTGTGGACTGCGAACATTTGTCCTTGAGCCTCTTCATTAATGAAATGAAAACTGCCTTGACCCAGTGGACGTTGTTTTAGGTTTACAAATGATAATATCTTTGAAGTTAGCCAAACACTTACCTTCAGAGTGTAAGAAAATTGAGTAAATAGATTCAATAATAACGAATAGTCAATAAACAATATCAGAGTGAAAAAAACATGTGAACAGCGCTCAGCTAACGACCTCTGTGAAACACAACTGCTCAACCGTCTTAGATTTCAGACATAATCTAGGTATCACAAACATAACAACTACCTTCTTAAGTATATCTATCGCTCTTCCATGCGAGCGTCCTTCTCCGTGTTACCTCTTAATTTTCATTGAATTTTAAAGCCGTAAACATTCTCTTACCTCGATTTTTGCTTTTTCTTTGTCACGGTTGGTGTTAATCTCCTTATTAATTCTCGTTTCATCTGTTGCATCAGTTGGTTGATTATCACACTCGGTCC